TTCCAAGAGAGTTGACATAAGAAAAGACTAAGGGAGAGCAGGTGTTCACTATAACTTGATAGATTTATGTGATCCAACAGGATGAATTTCATGACAGTGAATTTATGGTGCCTATTGTGATTTATAGCCAAAGGATGGATGGATGGAGGACAGATGAATAAATAGATCGATGGTCATTATTATAAATCTTGCACACAGGATCAATCCACATGGATCCTGGCAGTCTTTAAGGCCTCTCCAAAGAAATCAGAACATATACTGCATATTTAATTTCCTTTTTAAAACCTTTTATTTCTATATGTGTTTATCTGATAGCTGATTCTTTCAAAAATAACTTTATCTGTGTATATTTTTAACTTTATAAACCATTTCCATCTCTTTTTGAGAGTAGACTTCATAGATCCTTACTAAATAAAGTTGGCTAATAGTCTGTGGTATATAGAAAGGGCAGTGCCATGTAATCTCCTACTTTACCTCTCTGCCTCCATGAAGTAGGTTAGAATTAAACCATAGGAATTATAATGGGAAATATGTTCCAGCTCTCTCTCTCTTTTTTTTTAAGACAGAGTCTTGCTCTGTCGCCCAGGCTGGGATACAGTGGCGTAATCTCAGCTCAATATAATCTCTGCCTCCCAAGTTCAAGCAATTCTCCTGCCTCAGCCTCCTGAGTAGCTGGAACTACAAGCATACACCACCGTGCCCAGCTAATTTGTTGAATTTTTAGTAGAGACAGGGTTTCACCATGCTGACCAGGCTGGTCTAGAACCCCTGACCTCGTGATCTGCCTCCCTCAGCCTCCCAAAGTGCTGGGATTACAGGCGTGAGCCACTGCATCTGGCTACCAGCTCTCTTTTTAAATTGACCTTTGAAGAATTTAACTTGAACAATTAAATGATTCATGTAGTAAGAATTTATAGATTTCACTGAAGGACTGGCCCCTTATTCCCTGAATGAAATATAAAAAGGAAAGGGCATATAGAAAAGCATTTCTGGTATTATCCAGTTCACTTTCTTTTGAATTTATTTTCTTGTGGAAAACGGAGGTTTTTTTTAAACGTCATTTGGTTTGGTGAATTACAATTCAATTGAATTTTTCTGTTTATGTCTAAGAAGTCTATCTGAGCAGGACCATTAATTTAAATGCTTTCTACAAATCATCGTCAGGACAGCAAGGGATTGGAGATGAAAGGATGTGAAGAAAATGACTGTAGAGGGAGAAAATGAAGGAGAGAAAAAGAAAGTAACCTTGATCTGTACAAGTTAATACCTAGTGTTTAAAGTATTCTCTTTCATGCAAAGCTTGTGTGTCTCCCAACTAGGCTGGGCAGGAAACTCCAAATGCTGTGATATCTCTAGCCCAAGTAGAAGAAGCACTGACCTCCTTTCAGGCCACACTGGGAAGATCAACTGACCAATTAAAGTTTATAATAGACTTGCAAAAAGAGAAGGCTTCATCAATGCTGTATTTTCCTGCTGCATGAGAGAGTTATATTTCTTGTTGGGAGTGTTTTAATCCCCACTTATCTTTTATGATAGATGTTAGTCAATGACATTTCTTGAGACTGAGTTTGGTTTTGTTATTATTGCTGTAACCAAGGAAAGCTTGAGCATTCAAAATTTTGATTATTTTCAAATCTTGATGTCATATTTTTATTTCTAAAGGAATAGAACAATGAGGCTTCTGTGTCATTTAGTGTCTTTTATATGATGCATTAAAAGAGCTGATTTCTAGTTGTTTTATAACTATCAAAATTCCAAGAAAAGCAAGAAAAATCTGCATAAAGTGATGCACAATGTATTTTAGGTGTTGTACTGTGTTTTTATACTTACTATACTTTACAAAAACCTTTTATGATATAGAGAAAACTGGGAATCAGAGAGGTCAAGAAACTTGTCCTAGGAAGTAGTAGAGATGGCATTTGAGATCTTTCCAGTCTCAAAGATCATACTTTACAATTATGTCTACTTCCCATGAATCTTTGTACTGTTCTCACAGCTTCACAGAAATTGACCAATTGCTTACAATTCTTCCCAATTATATTCACCTTCATCATTACATTAATATTGGCACAGCAAACACCAAGTCCTTTTGCAGCAAACCTATTTCATGACTGTCTTTTTAAACATTTTCTTCTATGTCACCAAAAGACCAAATATTTCTTTTTTTAAAAAATGTCATTTTTAGCCCCTTGAAGTTCTGAATTGCCCTCTAGAAATCTCCATTTTACTTTCTCAGCATGAATTTCCATATACCAAATCTGAACTTCAAGTTGCTGTTTATATCAGACCTTTTTGCGGTCTATGGCTAACGGAGTGTGTCCTTAAGATTTCTCCCAAAAGTTTCGGTACTCAGCTCTGAATCATGAGGTATCATCTTGTAAAGAGGTTTTGTGCATACTAAGTACAGAGATCACCTGGATTTCCTTTAAGTAAGTAAAAATGTAGGTGAGGCATTCAGGCCAAAACCACATGCCGACCAACTTCGAACAGTTCATTTTGGTTAGAATTGCAAATATGTAGAACAGCTTGTAAACATTTACTGAGTGACTTCCTTGCACCAGATACTGCTAGACACTGAACTGTACTTTTCCTACTTCCTGGCACTTGCCTTTGTGAAACATCTCTTATATCCTAGGCAGTAGTCTATGTGTGGGAAATCATAAATATCATAAAAAGTCATTGGACCGACTGGCCTCCATCTAAACTGGTCTTAGGTCTTTCTGTAAGAACTTCTGATGACAAAGAATCTGAATTGGATTACAGTGACTATATTTAAAACCTAGAGGAAAAGCTGATACACAAAGCATCTTAATCTTTTCTGCCAGAAATACAGTGAGCATCATAATGAATAGATATAGCCAGTCTGGGTTGCTGTCAATATGCGGCATTGTGCCCAGGGCAATTAAATTTGCCTGTTTTTTATTACTGAGACCAAATATTTGGCCTGGGTTCCTGCAGAAAATAAGTAATTCCATTTCATGTGATTCACCTTTGAGTAACCCTCCAAGTTAATGAAGACTCGAGCTGAAAATTCATATTTATTACAGAAATAATCCATTTAGCAAATATTTACTGGGTCCCTGTATGTTGACTGGGCAGCGTATAAAGATTTAAACATGCAAAATATCGCCTTCATATATAACAAATGTGCAGCCTAACTTGCCTAAAATTAGCTCTCCATCTTTTCAAAAACATCACAGTCTTGTTTTTTGTTTTTAATAAGAGGATAAAATGAATTGTGATGACTAACAAAAGATATTCCAAGTCATAAGAAGCTTGGACTCTGGAGTCAGGCAGAGCGAGTTTTAAAATGTGATCTGCTATTTATCACCTGTGCAACCTGGTGTTGGGTGCTTCTTATGAACCATGATATAGAATCAATATGATAATAGCTCCCATCTTATCAGATTGGTTGGGGCTGAGATAACAAAGTTCCTGATAAGTTTCCTGAAACATCACAAGTACTCAGTACATTATGTCTATTAATTTTTTTATGATATATGTTTTGGGCTACATTGTTTTTGATGTATCATTGTGCACATTCTCCACCTAAAATGTAATGAGGTCTTAGCACACCCCTCACTCTGAGTCTCTGCTCTCTGGTCGAAGGCCTATGTATTGAGATTTGTCCATCTGGTATAGTTTGGGGCTCCTTCTCCTCCTTCCCTAATACATCTACATACACAAATAAACGTCAAAAAATTGGACACCAATGGAAGGTAGATTGCAAACATCAGAAAAAGTCATTAGTTTTCAAAAAATGATTATATAAACACTAAGCAGCATTTTAAGAAATTGTTAAACAAACTGATGACATGTCTACCGTGCACGAGATACTGCAATCATCACCATGACCACTCTGTAAGAAGTTGCTTGACTATGGAGCCAAACAGACCTAGCTCAACATCTTGGTCTTGTTACTCATTTGTTTAGTGACTTTGAAAGAGAAACTCACTTTGATTCTGTTTATTAATCCAAAGACAGGGGTTAGGAATAACTTCTGGGGTTGCTGAAAGAATTAGTCTGCATTAAAGTGCTTGGCACAGCACCTGGCACATGCAAGGGTCTCAGTTAACAAGAGCTGCCTTTCCCTCACTCCTAGTGATTACAGGGAGAGAATTAAGGTTGTCCCTCCAAACTTCAGATCTTGTGAGAACAGGAATCTTATATGGAAAGTAGCACATTACCTCTTAGATTCTCTATCAATGTTGCTGCAAATGACAGCTGGGAGGTAGTCAAACTGGGTTTTAAACACAGATCTTTGGGTTCTGAGAAAGGCCACATATTTTGCTCCCTTCTACTCTGTCACCCTACTTCAGTTTTTGGAAGTGTGCATTTGCATGCTTCTGGGGAGATATGTGAGAAATGGATTGCATTCCACTATTAACAGAGTTCTACATATTGATCCTAAAGAGTGGTCATTGCCAACACACCTCCTCTTCCTAAAGCTCCTTTTCTTCTCCAGAGCTCTAGTTTACTCCTAGAGCTGGCTTTGTACATAGTCCTTGCCTTGTCCAAGCTCTTTTTAAAAGCACAGTGAGGGATGGGAAGCAAGTGCACCCCAGGAACATGATCTCCAAAAGTCGTGCCTTTTCAACGATTTTAAAGGCAGTCTATGTATATGGAGGTTCTAACCTCACAATAAAGAGCTAGAAGAAAAAGCAATGTGTAGCAAGAGTATGAGGTGAGTAAGAAAGGTGGGCAAAAAAGAAAGGCTTTCAAAGACAGAACGCCCTCTCCCGCAGGCTCCCCCGGCTCCAGTGTCAGAACCTGGCTTTGTGTTTGGCTCTTCTCCTCTGGGTTGTATCTGCCCCACCTCTCTTCCTACCGAAGTCCTTTAAGTTAACTTGGGTGATAAGCCCATTTCTGCTAAGAGGCTGATAGGGCGGTGAGCATTCTACATTTGGCCTCTCCACGTTATTCTGTTAGCAGCTAGCAATGGAATGGTAGGAATCCAGGACAAGAGAAAGGAGCGGTTATTGGCAGGACTTTCCACTTACACTTCTAGGGGACAGCGTCGCAGGTTAAGGCCGGTAGCCTCTTGTGTCTGGTCTTCAGCTTCTGCCTACAGAATGCAAACACCTCGGTGTCTTCTGTTTAGGTCTCAGCTCCAGGAGTGTTACCTCCACTTGGTGATCTACAGAAACCATCTTCATTTTTAGGGAGAAAAATATTTCAGGTGTGTTTTTAAAATAAAATAAAATAGAAATAAAACTAAACAAGCAAAAACTCTATAGGTTCTTTGGAGTATCAGACTTGGATGTTTTACCCAAAATTAGTATAGAGTCCACGTTTCCTTTCTGAAGGTTTCCTCCAAACAATTCTCCTTTCAGTGTAACATTTAAAGGTGGCTCAGATTCAAAATTTGATGTTTGCTTAATGAATTCCTACAATCCCTATCAGTTGTGCTCAGGAGAAAAGAAACTGGTTAGAGATGGTTTATTTATTTAGCTGTATTGTTTCTTCTTCTCCTGAAGGTCTATATACTCTTAAAGCCAGGAAATTCTAAGGTACTTTGTGGGAGTATTTTTAGTTAGTTTAGGGAAGCTTCAGAGAAAAACACCAGAAAACACACTAATTTTTGTTTCAAATTAAAAGGGTTTTTTTAAAAAAGGTATTTTTAATAAATGACTTTCAAACTATTTTTGACCTACAGCTTATCATGATGCAGTAGCTCATTCAGACACTGCTACAGAGATACCAAGACTGGGTGCTTTGTAGAGAAAGGGGATTTAATTGACTCACAGTTCCACATGGCTGGGGAGGCCTCAAGAAACTTACAATTACGGTGGAAGGCAAAGGGGAAGCAAGGCATGTCTTACATGGTAGCATGAGAGAGAGAGAAAGGAGTTGGGGGTGTGCCACCCTTAAAGCATCGGCTCTCCTCAGAACTCCCTCCCTAGCATAAGGGAAATTGCCCCCATGATCCAATCACCTCCCACTAGGCCCTCCCTCGACACATGGGGATTACAATTCCAGATGAGATTCGAGTGGGGATATAGAGCCAAACCATATCACATAAGAAATGTATTTTACATCATCATCCAATTTGGCCAAGAGTTTCATGAAACATTATTCATCCTTTCTATGGGCAATGCACATTTTTCTATTTCATTTTAAAATTGAGGTTTTGCCCTAGCAAACTGCCTTTATAAGCTTGCAGTGGGGCTTTATTTGCAGTTTGAAAAGACGATTGAGAAATATTGCCTCTCTTTTATACAGTTGAGCCAGTGATTTTAAAGAATGTTCTATTCATGCGACGTGGAGAGGTGAAAATAAACAAGGTGCCTACATAGATGGAGCTGCTGACTTCATGGAGTTCACCGTCTAGTAGGATTTATATAATGTTGTGATTTTAGAAGAACAGATCAAAGAAGCAAGCATCATGACAAAATGCACTTGCTTATGAAAAGCTTTTTGCAAATATCTGATACATGAGTGAGAAAAGCTGGATGTCCTGTTGTAAATTCTCATGGAAATATTACTTTCTTGAAAGTGAAGGTCACTATGAACAGGAATTTGTGACTGTATTGATTTCTTTACTAAATATTTGACAACTTTGGCAAAAACAAAACAAAAGCAATAACATGTGCACAAACTTTTAAGCAAATCTGCCTTGTTTCTTTCTTTTCTTTCCCACTGTTCCCATCCTTGTCCCCCCTTGTCACAGAATAATCTAGTTTGAATGATTCTATTTCTTTTGTATCATGGTAAAACACATCCAAGATAAAATTTCCCATTTTGGCATTTTTGAGTGTAAAACTCAGTGGCATTTAGTACATTCTCAGTGTCATGACACCAATCAAGTTCCAGAACTTGATATCACCACAAAAAGAAATCCAGTACCCATTAAGCAGCCACTCCCCTTTCTCTCTCCACTCAGCCTCTCTCAACCTCTGATCTGCTTTCTGTATTAATGAATTAGCCTACTCTGGAAATTTCATACAAATGAAATCACCCAATATGTGGCTCTTTGCATTTGGCTTCCTTCATTTTGCATAACATTTTCAAGGTTCATTCACATTGTAGCCTATATCAGTACTTTATTGCTTTTTATGGCTGAATAGTATTCCATCATACAGCTAGGCCACAATTTGCTTATCCATTTATCTGTTGATGGAGAATTATTTCATTTTAAAATGAATTTTATTCAGAAAATAATTAGAAACTAAATTATTGGGCATATCTTCACAACTTTTATTACATACCTATTATAAGTAGAGTCTGAAGGCTTTTGAAGAAATCCGGTGTCACTGTAGGAGTCTGAGTATGAAATGTACTTTATATTCAGAAGCTCATGAGATTGTGCTGGGCCTCACCTGTAAATTCAAGATTTATCTGCATACATATGATGAATGAAACCATGTGAGTGGATGAAATCACCCTCAGAAAAGGATATAGAAGTACCTAGGACAAAGCCCTGAAGAACCCCAACATTCTGGGGATTACTGGAGTAAGAGTAGCCTCCAATTTCCTCACTGGGGATGAAGATAATAAAACCTAACTCAGGAAAACTCTCAGGCTCACTACTTTAGGGAAAAACACCACCTACTTTTTCACAAAGTTCGTAAGAGATTTAAATGAGGCAACATATGCAACCACTGCCTGAGCAATAGGTAGGACCTCCGCAATGGTAGCTGGTATTGTTACAAAGACAAAGCACCTTCCCACTCTATCTTTTGACCTTGTCACTATCCTCGACTTCTACCTCTGTTGCTTTATTTATCTTATCTGGTAAGATATTGATGGTATTTATCTGGTAACATTACAACCAGGCTGTCTAGTTTTCAACCTCTTAAAAATCACTCAATATTTAATCTTTTTGGTGTGTGGTTGTCTCCCACACACCGAAAGCAGCTAAAGGAATCTGAATTCAGTGGATATGTTAGAGGCACAGGCAGATTCCCAGTGTGGCTGATGAATGATGGCAGTTTTATTTTATTTTAAATTTATTTATTATACTTTAAGTTCTGGGGTACATGTACAGATTGTATAGGTTTGTTACATAGGTATACGTGTGCCATGTTTGTTTGCTGCATCCTTTGCCCCATCATCTACATTAGGTGTTTCTCCTAATGCTATCTCTCCCCAATCCTCCCACCCACTGCTATTCCTCCCCTAGCACCCCACCCTCAAGGCCCCGGTGTGTGATGTTCCTCTCCCTGTGACTGGGTGTTCTCATTGTTTAACACCCACTTATGAGTGAGAACATGCGGTGTTTGGTTTTCTGTTCTTTTGTCAGTTTGCTGAGAATGATGGTTTCCAGATTCATCCATGTCCCTGCAAAGGCCATGAACTCATCCATTTTTATGGCTGCATAGTATTCCATGGTGTATATGTGCCACATTTTCTTTATCCAGTCTATCATTGATGGCCATTTGGGTTGGATCCAAGCCTTTGCTGTTGTGAACAGTGCCACAATAAACATACATGTACATATGTCTTTATAATAGAATGATTTCTAATCCTTTGGGTATATACCCAGTAATGGGATTGCTGGGTCAAATAATATTTCTATTTCTAGATCCTTGAGGAATTGCCACGCTGGTTTCCACGATGGTTGAACTAATTTACATTCCCATCAACAGTGTAAAAGTGTTCCTATTTATCCACATCCTCTCCAGCAGCTGTTGTCTCCTAATTTTTTAATTATTGCCATTCTAACTTGTGTGAGATGAGATCTCAATGTGGTTTTGGTTTGCATTTCTCTAATGACCAGTGATGAGCATTTTTTCATATGTTTGTTGGCTGCATAAATGTCTTCTTAGGAAAGTATCTGTTCATATTCTTTGTCCACTTTTTGATGGGGTTTGTTTTTTTCTTGTAAATTTAAGTTCTCTGTAGATTCTGGATATTAGCCCTTTGTCAGATGCGTAGATTATAAAAATTTTTTCCCATTCTGTTGGTTGCCATTTCACTCTATTGATAGTTTCTTTTGCTGTGCAGAAGCTCTTATGTTTAATTAGACCCCATTTGTCTATTTTGGCTTTTGTTGTAATTGCTTTTGGTGTTTTAGTCATGAAGTCCTTGCCCATGCCTCTGTCCTGAATGGTACTGCCTAGGTTTCCTTCTAGAGTTTTTATGGTGTTAGGCCTCCTGTTTAAATCTTTAATCCATCTAGAGTTAATTTTTGTATAAGGTATATGGAAGGGATCCAGTTTCAGCTTTCTGCACATGGTTAGCCAGCTTTCCCAACACCATTTATTAAAAAGGGAATCTTTCCCCACTACTTGTTTTTGTCAGGTTTGTCAAAGATCAGATGGTTGTAGTTGTGTGGCATTCTTTCTGAGGCCTCTGTTCTGTTCCATTGGTCTATATCTCTATTTTGGTACCAGTACCAGCTGTTTTGATTACAGTAGCCTTGTAGTATAATTTTAAGTCAGATAGTGTGATGCCTCCAGCTTTGTTTGTATTTTTTTTTGTTTTTGTTTTTTGCTTAGGATTGTCTTGGCTATGTGGGCTCTTTTTTTGGTTCCATATGAAGTTTAAGGTGGTTTTTCCAATTTTGTGAAGAAAGTCATTGGTAGCTTGATGGGGGTAGCTTTGAATCTATAAATTACTTTGGGCAGTGTGGCCATTTTCATGATATTGATTCTTCCTAACCATAAGCATAGAATGTTTTTCCATCTGTTTGTGTCCTCTCTTATTTCCTTGAGCAGTGGTTTGTAGTTCTCCTTGAAGAAGTCCTTCACATCCCTTGTTAGTTGTATTCCTAGGTGTTTTATTCTCTTTGTAGCAATTGTGCATGGGAGTTCACTTATGATTTGGCTCTCTGTTTACTATTGGTGTATAGGAATGCTTGTGATTTTTGCACATTGATTTTGTATCCTGAGACTTTGTTGAAGTTGTTTATCAGCTTAAGGAGATTTTGGGCTGAGATGATGGGGTTTTCTAAATATACAATCATGTCATCTGCAAACAGGGACAATTTGAGGTCTTCTCTTCCAGACTGAATACCATTTATTTCTTTCTCTTGCCAGATGTCCCTAGCCAGAACTTCCAATACTATGTTGAATAGGAATGGTGAGAGAGGGCATCCTTGTCTTGTGCCAGTTTTCAAAGGGAATGCTTCCAGTTTTTGCCTATTCAGTAAGATATTAGCTGTCGGTTTGTCATAAATAGTTCTTATTATTTTGAGATACGATCCATCAATACCCAGTTTATTGAGAGTTTTTAGCATAAAGGACTATTGAATTTTGTCAAAGGCCTCCTTCTCTGCATCTATTGAGATAATCATGTGGTTTTTGTCATTGGTTCTGTTTATGTGGTGGTTTACATTTATAGATTTGCAGATGTTGAACCAGCCTTGGATCCCTGGAATGAAGCTGACTTGATCATGATGGATAAGTTTTGATGTGCTGTTGCATTCAGTTTGCCAGTACTTTATTGAAGATTTTTGCATCTATTTTCGTCATGGATAGTGGCCTGAAATTTTGTTTTTTAGTTGCATCTCTGCCAATTTTTGGTATCAGGATGATGTTGATCTCATAAAATGAGTTACAGAGGGTTTCCTCTTTTTGTATTGTTTGGAATAGTTTCAGAAGAAATGATACCAGCTCCTCTTTGTACCTCTGGTAGAATTCGGCTGTGAACCTGTCTTGTCCAGGACTTTTTTTGTTTGGTAGGCTATTAATTGCTGCCTCAACTTCAGACCTTGTTATTGGTCTATTCAGGAATTCAATTTCTTCCTGGTTTAGTCTTGGGAAAGTGTGAATATCCAGGAATTTATCTATTTCTTCTAGAATTACTGATTTATTTGCATAGATGTGTTTGCAGTAATCTCTGATGGTAGTTTGTATTTCTGTGGGATCAGTGGTGATATCCCTTTATCATTTTTTACTGCATCTATTAGAATCTTCTTTCTTCTCTTTTTTATTAGTCTGGCTAGCAGTCTATGTATTTTGTTGATCTTTTCAAAGAACCAACTCCTGGATTTATTGATTTTGTTGAAGGGTTTCTTGGGTCTCTCTCTCCTTCAGTTCTGTTTGGTCTTAGTTATTTCTCACCTTCTCCTAGCTTTTGAATTTGTTTGATCTTGCTCCTCTAATTCTTTTAATCGTGATGTTAGTGTGTCAATTTTAGATCTTTCCTCACTTCTCTTGTAGGTATTTAGTGCTATAAATTTCCCTCTAGACACTGCTTTAAATGTGTCCTAGAAATTCTGGTATGTTGTGTCTTCATTCTGATAGGTTTTGAAGATCTTTATTTCTGCCTTCATTTCATTATTTATCCAGTAGTCATTCAGGAGCAGGTTGTTTAGTTTCCATGTAATTCTGCGGTTTTGAGTGAGTTTCTTAATCCTGAGTTCTAATTTGATTGCACTGTGGTCTGAGAGACTGGTTGTTATGATTTCTGTTCTTTTGCATTTGCTGAGGAGTGTTTTACTTCCAATTATGTGGTCAATTTTAGAATAAGAGTGACGTGATTCTGAGAAGAATGATATTCTGTGGATTTGGGATGGAGAGTTCTGTATATGTCTATTAGGTTCACTTGGTCCAGATCTGAGTTCAAGTCCTGGATATCCTTTTGAATTTTCTGTCTTGTTGATCTGTCTAGTATTGACAGTACGGTGTTGAAGTCTCCCACTATTATTGTGTCAGAGTCTAAGTCTCTTTGTAGGTCATTAAGAAATTGCTTTACATATCTGGGTGCTCCTGTGTTGGGTGCATATATACTTAGGATAGTTACCTCTTCTTGTTGCATTAATTCCTTTACCATTATGTAATGCCCTTTTTTGTCTCTTTTAATCTTTGTTGGTTTAAAGTCTGTTTTATCAGAGACTAGGATAAAAAAGCAACCCCTGCTCTTTTTTGTTTCTCTCCTTATTTCCTTGGTAAATCTTCCTCCATCCCTTTATTTTGAGCCTATGTGTGTCTTTGCATGTGAAATGGGTTTCCTGAATACAGCACATGGATGGAGCTTGACTTTTTATCCAATTTGCCAGCCTGTGTCTTTTGATTGGGGCATTTAGCCCATTTACATTTAAGATTGCTATTTTTATGTGTGAATTTGATCCTGCCGTTTTGATGCTAGCTGGTTGTTTTGCCCATTAGTTGATGCCATTTCTTCATAGTGTCGATGGTCTTTAAAGTTTGGTATGTTTTTGCAGTGGCTGGTACTGGTTGTTCCTTTCCATGTTTAGTGCTTCCTTCAGGAGCTCTTGTAGGGCAGGCCTGGTGTAATGAAATCTCTTAGCAGTTACTTGTCCATAAAGGATCTTACTTCTCCTTCGCTTACGAAGCTTACATTGGCTGGATATGAAATTCCGAGTTGAAAATTCTTTTATTTTAGGATGTTGAATATTGGCCCCCAGTCTCTTCTAGCTCGTAGGGTTTCTGCCGAGAGATCTGCTATGAGTCTGATGGGCTTCTCTTTGTGGGTAACTGACCTTTCCCTCTTGCCGCCCTTAGCATTTTTTTCTTCATTTCAACCCTGGTGAATCTGACAATTATGTGTGATGGCAGTTTTAGATCTACATAGGAAAGTGTTCTCAATTCCATAGCTTGGGAGGGAACCATTCTAACCCCAGATTATCAAGATAGTAAAATTATTTCCCTTTAGATGTCTTTGTTTTGATATTGGCAAGAGAAGAGTCACCACATTTCTTAAAGGACACTTAGTTTGCTCTCCCATTTTTGGTAAAGAATAGTTGATGAAGATTTATCCTCCACTCCAGATATAAATTATACTATAATCATAACTACCTGAAGTAGAAAATCACTGGATACAGTGTTTTTAAAACTTACCAGATTATTGAACATAGTGTCTTAAATTTGTTGTTCCTATAAGATCCTTGACCACTGTTGCTCTCTATTGAAGAGTTTCAATATTTTTTGATAAATTCTCAAAAGGCATGAGCACACCTGTCTTTACTCACTTTTAACGCAGTTGGTATGATTGCTTTCTCCTTGGATCATCTAAAAGATTCATTAAGATATGAATAACTTACTTTCATAAATTCATTTGCTTTAGTCTTTCAGTTTTCCTCACATTTTTTGTAAACTTCTTAAGCCTTTTCACTTTCAAAGAAGTAAAACATTCTTAATGTTTTTTTTTTGAGATGAAGTCTCACCCTGTCACCCAAGCTGGAGTGCAATGGCACCATCTTGGCTCACTACAACCTCTGCCTGCTGGGTTCAAGTGATTCTTCCACCTCAACCTCCCAAATAGCAGGGACTACAGGCATGTGCCACCATGCCTGGCTAAATTTTTGTATTTTTAGTAAGGATAGATTTTTCACCATATTGGCCAGGCCGGTCTTGAACTCCTGACCTCAAGTGATCCACCTGCCTCAGCCTCCCAAAGTGCTGGGATTATAAGCATGAGCCACTGAGCCCAGCCCAACAGTTTTTTTTTTTTTTTTTCTTATTCAACAATTTGATTAGGGGATTTTTTTTTCTAGAATTTCACATTTGGTGTATTTCTATTCATATTCCATGTATAAGTGTATTTCATGTGTTCAAAGCATGATTTTCAGTGAAAGAAAATCACCACAGTGATACTACAGATATTGACATGGCATTTTGTGAAGGTGTGCAAATTATTTTATCTCTTGTCATTGGCCGATCTGTTATAATTTGAGAGGTTGAAACATAAAGAGAATGTAGCTTGTATTAAGCTACACAATTAGAACTGATGCTAGGAATGGACTCTGCCTCCTGGCTCCTGATTCAGTGCATTTTTCACTAGAAAGTAGACAACTCATGATGTTCATGACCTAGTTCATGTTGGCTATTATCCAAACTTGGTGGTCAAAACCAGGACAGGGTCTGTGGAAAACTACTATTGCCTATTCTGTTACCAATTTAATACAAAGAGTATTGGAATGTGTGGGTATTTTCTGATATATTTGGTAAGGCATGCTATCTCTTATCTCATAGGTCAAGTTACAGGAAATAAAACACTTGAAAACATAAGGATGATAGCATTAGTTTTATAGTCCTGTAAAAACCAGTAGTGGCTGCTGAGTATGGCATTCATTGTAAACTCAAAGCTAAATCAGAGGCAAAAAGAAGCCAATTAGGAGACTTGAAACCCACAGAAAATTGTAGGGAGAGACTGATGATTATATAACTATGATATTTTGTCCTTACAACAGAATAAGACAATTAGAGGTGAGAAAGATGTTTTTAATAAACAAAATTAAAAATAAAAGGGGAGAAGGTGTTTCTAAATATTATGGGTGGGTAGTTTTATGTGGGAGGAGTTTTTTTTAAATTGACATTTTAAAGAAATGTCTTAAATGGGTGACTATTAAAATGCAAAATTAGGCAGAACAAAGACATTTTGAAGGCTGTATTTCAGTAGTATCCTAAGAGGCAGATAATGAATGACTCAGATAATCTGAGTGGTTTGGGCTGACTCACATGTTTTGGAAGAACGTTTCATCAACTCACTGATTCTGTCATTGTTTTTCCCTTTGTTCCACCTGGTAGTGCCAAACAAATCTGAAATACCAGTGACTCTCATATCCATTTTCTCAAGAAGACTTTCCAAACCACCAATAACAATAAGGTTTGAATATATAAGCATTTAGTATATTTGAATAATACTAACAGACGCACAAGCCATATCTGTAACTATGGAACATGTGGGTGATGGGAAACCCAAACAGCCTTGACAGATAAGTACAGAAGAAGCAAGACTGGACTTGGCTTGTCAGGATGGAAGAAAAGGGCTTTCTTAGTCAGTGCTGTTTGAATGCTGCATCCTGGAAGATATTTTAAATCACGAATATTATCTGGACTTATAAATGAGGGAGCCTTGGCCTTAGCTCGAGAAAGGATCTCAGCCTACTAGGGCAATTGACATAGGAAGGAATAGGTGGTACTATATAGATGATATATCATAATACATATAAGAGCAACATTGTGAGGGGAGCACAGAATAGTCAGTGTCTTATGCTTCTAGGTTTGAGAGGCCCTACAGAAGGAATGGCATTTAGCCTGGGCTTTAAGGGATGAGTTGAAATTCCAAATGTCCACAAAATAGGGAAAGCATTTCAACCACAAGAAAGGACCACACATGAGAGAAAGAGATACAAGAGTGCAAATGGTGGGGTGTGTTCAGAGTATGGTTAATAATTCAGTGCGGACACAGATTGGAGGAAGTAGTAAAAGATAAGATGGGACTGAGGGACACAAAGATGTGTCATATCTGTGCAATTCTCTTGGTATGGGTCACATGATCTGTATCTTGGCATTATCTCAGTCCAAAGAATATGTCTAACCTGAAAATGACTATTCTTCTAAATCTGTGATTTGGCTTCTTGGCAGAACCCCAGTTTGGGTGATGAATAACAGTAGTCTAAGAAAAAACTTGCCATCTTTTCTGTACCCATGCATCCTTATGTTGCTTATATGCTAAGAATTTATAGTGTGAAGTCCTTGATAAATATCTATTGAAAAAATGTAATAATGAATCCTATGCACATGCAAACACACATAGCTATACATAGAACTTAAGAAACATCATTGCTTTTTGAACATTAAAGTCTAAATGGTGTATTACAACTTTCAAATATGTTCACTTGAATGTTGCTGAGTTTTTGACCTTCTGCTGTTTTCCCACAGGATTGAAAAAACGTACAAGGAAGGCCTTTGGAATACGGAAGAAAGAAAAGGACACTGATTCTACGTAAGTACTTTAGGAGTTTGCCCCCTCAAAGAAGCTATTTGCATAACAGATGCTTCGTCACAGTCAGTATAAGATTGTCGCACGGTTTTCTCGGATATTGTATACTATTTGCTTTCCCCATTTCTGAGTAAATTGTAACTATTCAATATAAACAGTTTTTAGATTTATACCAAAATGGTAAAAAATTTTCAAGTGTTCAGTTTTTTTTTTATCATATTTCTTTCTTTCTTTTTTCTTTGGATCGTCATACTTCCCAGCAGTCTCAGGAGGCAGAAAATGTGACTGTTACTTTTGTGAAGGATAAAAAGATTCATTTCCACATATAGGGTTGACCCTACGATCTGAACTAAAGAAACAACAAAACACCTGTTTGGATAGATTAGAGCCAGCCAGAAACAGAAATGTAGACTAGAGAACATCTCAAAGCTCTTACCTGAGATGCCGAGATTTTGTACAAGCTGAATTGTAAATCAACAGAATTCAGGAATGATTGACTATTTGGCGAACAAGAAACAAATGCCAGAAACAACTATGGGGGTGCTTTTATATGTGTAAATGATCATATTCAAGGGAATTAATTGCCCACAGACACTGATAGACCCCGAAAATGTCCAATGACATACCTTCTTTTTCCTCTAACTTCCTTCCACTTATTTGACCATCTTGAATTCTCCTGCAGAAGTATTTGGCTCTGACACAAAATCTCAGTTGCCTTTTGGAGCCAAGCAGGTAACTTAAATACGTGAAGTCCACTGGCCAGGAACTTGAGACTCCAGTACAAGACCAGTGTAAGGAGAGCACAACCATCCAGCTACAGGTGGTTGTGACCAGGTGGAAATGCAGATCTGGTGTAGTTTCTTGTATGTCAGAATTGAGAACATTATACCCTTCATTTGGCTAGAATCTCTGAAAGAAAGTTAGAAAATGGGAAAAGCAATAGTTGTTTGGGTACAGGTGAAAATCAAGAAAGCCACATTCTCACCTTTAGCTTTTCATTCGGTATATTTTTATCATGCCTAAATTTTATCACAAGATGCTAAGTATTTCCCTGGACCCTTGTCCTTTGAGAGTTTATGATTCATGAGATAAAGTATCTACTACACAAATTAAAGTATTATTTATACAACTAATATGGTAACATATTTGAAATGCCTAATATGGTACCTAATACTTAGTAAATGCTCAGAAAATGGCAGCTGCTGGTACTTTTCTTATTTCTGATACAAATTAATACATGGTAAGTTCCTTACAAGCAACTAAGATGGGATTTCATGGGAATTTCAGGATCAGAAAGCTCATATTTGGACTGATGATCAGTGACCCTTCAGGGAGGGAGGAGACTTGAGCTTGGCCTTCAAGAAGATGAGGATGTATATTTCATGCAAAGGAAACAACAAAAGCAAAAGCAGAAAAATAGAATAGTCCACCAGGCATATACCGACAAGACAAAATAGGCAGTTTGTCTACTTGGGGGTTACAGGTAAAGGTGACAATGGAAGGCAAGGCTGGAAAGGAGACCAGTACCAGATGGAAAGGGCCTTAAGTAGCAGGCTGAGGTGTGTGGGCTACTTCCATAGGCAGTGGGCCACCTTGAAACCTTGAAAGTTTTAAGCCAAAGAGTATAAAGGTTTGGGGGAGCAATGTTATTTTTGTCTAGATGCCAAATGTTAAGTTCTTATATTTTCTTTGTGCATTATCTTTTGTAACTATTTATTTCATGGAAATTACATTTGCTGGAATAGTGTGGAAATTACTGTTGTCCTGCAAATTTTTCTCAATAATTAAGTTAGGAATATTTTTCTGAGGATTATACAATTTACATTGTTTCTTAAGAAGTTTGCCATTTTCTAAATATTTGCCACCCAGACTATAGGATAGTGCCTTCACTAGCTGAGAAGATCGGGCTGTAGTCCCAGCACCGCCAGAACTCCATGGCTTTAGAAATTACCCTTTTCTTTGCTGGGCCTCAGTTTCCACCCCTGTAAACAACAACAAAGAAATTTACACAGATGGAATCTAATTTTCCTAAAGGGCCAGACGCTGTAGGAGTCGTATAAGGGAAGGCATTATAGGCTCATATAGTGACCACCTGCAATGTGCCAGGTGTTGTGGGGGACGCTACTCAATGGATCTCAGGAGAACATCAATAACAGAAACCAAATCCATTTCTGAATGAAGACAATGTCTGTAACTGACTGCACCAGGGATTTCTGGCATGTGAGGAAAGTTAGAAAGGAAAAAAGTCTCCTGAGAGAGAAAAGAGGTTGAACAACCTCTCCAGGGCAGGCTGAACTAATTTACACATGGCCAAAGCACTGCTCTTCCATCACTGTTTCTAAAGCTACGAAAATAACTGAGTTATTCCTCACGGCTATCTGATGCACTCTAACGAGACATTTGTTTATGGAATCCTAAGTATCCTTCCTTAACTTCTTATCATTTGAGAGTCCCAAATTACTTACATGGTAGCAAAATAGATGTAAGCTGGTTCCACCATCTTACCACCTATGGTCAAAGGACAAGCTGTTTAGTATGTTTAATATAAGCCTTTGCTTTTTATGAACTCCCTAATGCTTTCATTAACTCTCTAATTGGATCACATATCATTCTTGGAAAAGAAATCAGGATAAATGCAAAGGGGTTGGGAAAGTGCTCTAGCAATTTGCTGTCCCTTCAGCTTTAGTAAATGCTGGTGTTTGTCTGCGATCATTGAAGCCTTGTTGATGCAAACTGTTTACAGCGCTGTTATGACTCACTATGGGTTGCTAAGCAACCTCCTAGCATAGACACCAGCACGAACTTCAGCTGATTGAACCTCCTTAGATATACAGTGGGGTTAGGACCAGAGTTTCCTGATTTAATCATCATTACAGCAGCTGATAGAAAGAGGAAGGGAGAGAGATTGTGCTAAGTGGCAGGCCCTGTGCAGGACATATGTTGTACTAGTAACCTTTTTAGTCTTCCCCGTAATTTAATAAGGTTAGTAATATTACATCAATTTTAAGGATGTGATATCAGTGCCAAAAGGGGTTAAGTAACATTTTGAAGGCTACCCAGAAACTAAGACTTGGAGCCCATCATATTCTAGTCTAAAATCCAATGTCTGTGCTTTCATCACCCAAAAGAAAAAAATGTCAATGGGTAGAATTAAAATCCAGACAAATCGGAGGGTTAAGAAAAAAGGACAGTAATTACAAAAGGTAACTGAAACTTTAAAATAGATGCCAAAAGTCCGTGGTAGATGATTCTCTCTTTTTTTTTTTTTTTTTTGTATGTGTATTCGGAATTAAAATATTAGTACTTAATTAGTGGTTTTTTAAATGCATATTTTATTTATTGCATTTTAGGGATCCTTTTTAAAATAGAAATCAGCAAATACATTAAGTCTGCCAAGAAAAAAGAAAAAATTCATTTAAAAATACAATATAAAACCTCATTAGAGGGGTTTAGGAAGTGAAATTAGAATGCATGCCCGATTGTCTGAGGCTGCTAAAATCTCTTCACTCCCTGTCCTGGGTCATATTGCATAAAAATTATTATTCTAGAAAACACTATGTTCTAGGTACTGTTTCAGGTTCTTCCCTTACATCAGCTCATTGAATCCTCTAATAGCTCTGTGTGGAATATATGCTGTTATGATGGCTATTTTATAGATGAGGAAACTGAGAAACAAAGAAGTGAAGTAACTCGCCCAAGTTCTGCAGCTAAGAAACCTACATTGGTTGATCCCAGGTAGTCTGGCGCTGGAGCCAGTACCCTTAGCCACCAGGCTCACTGACTCCATAGGACACATGAGCCACATTTCCATCAGTAGAGAAGACAAAAGATCAGAATAGGACTCCAATGTTGCTATGTACAATCACAGTTTCTCTGATTAAAAATTGTTAAGACCATCCCAACAGCTGCAATCAGCATGAGGTCAATGCCTCCCATTTAAGATCCCCTACTGATACGACCTTATACCTGAATCCACAGTGGGCAACACCACAGCAGGCCAATCTCTGAGCTTCTGTTGCATCTATTTCTTGCTGTTCCCAAAGGATCCCCATATGGATCAGTGACTCTGAACACATCCTACCCAAAAATTGATGCAGTCTCCTCTCTCTCAGCTCCGGTAGCAGAGGCTGAAGTTCTAGTAAGAAATACTCATATATATAGATATTAAGTCCTAGTAAGTTGAAGTCCTAGTAAGAAATAGTATATCAGCCAGGCACGGTGGCTCATGCCTATAATCCCAGCACTTTGGGAAGCAGAGGTAGGTGGATCACCTGAGGTCAGGAGTTCAAGACTAGCCTGGCTAACGTGGTGAAACCACTTCTCTACTAAAAATACAAAATTAGCTAGGCATAGTGGCTCATGCCTGTAATCCCAGCTACTTTAGAGACTGAGGCAGAAGAATCACTTAAACCTGGGAGGCAGAGTTTGCAATGAGGCAAGATTGCACCATGACACTCCAGCCTGGGTGACAAGAGCAAAACTCCATCTCAAAAAAAAAAAAAAAAGAGAGAGAAAGACTTACTGAGTATACAGACATAAAAAAGAGAATTGGTTTCGATGAGTATGGATTGGTACCTACCCTCAGTGCCCTCCTACTACCCTGGGCTTACTAGGACCGTGATAACCCACTGGGCTTACTAGCCCACTTTATTCTCTTTGTGATGAGCATGTCTTCATTATTTTTATCTCTTGGTCCTAACCAAACACTTAGTTCATTACAAGCACTTTTGTCAGCCAAGATTCTTCCTATCGTTCTATTTTAAATACAACTTTTTCAAACTGGTTAATTTCCAGATAATGTTCAAAAGTCCCAAGATTTCTGTCAATTCCCATGGTCTTTCAATATCCAGATCTCTGTTTCTTGCCTCTGTATCACTGATTTATCTGTGCATCTGTGTGGACACAGAACTCACTCTTTATGAAAAATGATGCACTCTTTCAAGTGTATTATCATCCAAGTAGAATATTCTGCTAATTTTGAAGGGGTGTTGGTAGAGAAGGAATCACACATCGGAGTCCAGATGGCATCTCACCAACTCTGCATTACTTTCTCTCTCTCTCTCTCTTTCTCTTTTGATTGACTTTCTGCCATGAAGCAATAATTCTCTTACCTGGTCACACCTTCTGAATAACAGTTCCAACCAAATGCCAAACTCCTCAAGACATCACAGTCCACCTCAAGCACTTATTAAGGTTTTCTTCCAAATAATGCAGGTCCCTTTCCAAGTGTAATACATATCCCTGTAATTTTTTAGCCTCTTAAAAACTGAATTAAAATGGAAAGTTATAAAATTACAGTGACTACCTTCTAGTTTCTCCCTCTGCTCCTCTCATCCAGTTTCCTAAAATACCTATAATACACTGCTCTAAAGTCCAGTGTGGCTGCAAGTGGCAGTTTTGTGTTCCTAGTGAAGAGAAAAGAAATTATAATCAACTCATAGTTTTAATACTATGTGTCATGAACTATTGTAAGTTCTTTCTATATATTACCTTGTTTAAACTGGCTTAGAGAGCTTAGGGGTTCAAGGTCACAGGACTGTTTGGATACCCAGCTTCCACTTACTCTAAAGCCCTTGCTCTTGACCACTAGCATAGTGCCACCATAGAGTAGCTGCCCTGGGCTTTAGTCATCAGAGGGAGCCATTTAGCAAAATGTTGTTCTCCATTTCCTGCTCTTCTACAACGGGAGAGAGGTAAACATAGAAACATGGGGGAAAGTAACAATTTTCAAAATAAAGTTAAAAAAATGCCACAGAAGTTTTATCATATAGGAGGCAATTCTGGACCATTCACAGAAGAAAAGATACAAGGGCTGGGCTCCTGCAATCCCAGCTTCTCGGGAGGCTGAGACATAGGTTCATGGGAGCCCAGCAGTTCAAGGCTGTAATATGCTTTTGATTATGCCTGTGAATAGCCACTGCATGCCAGCCTGGGCAGCATAGCAAGACCCCATCTCTTAAAAATACACAGATGAGAGAGTAAATTGGTTTACTTGCCTCATGGTAGTTTTAAATGGAGCCAGCTGGGCTGGGACTTTCTCCTTAATGAACTCTCCTCTCAAAAGTGGACCAACACACTGCCCTACCCACTTGTGCTGCAAGTTTTTAATGAGAATTTCCTTCCTACATACACATACCCCATACTTAAATATCATTCAATCAATTTGTTTTGATTTAGTTTTCATTAGCCAGGTTTACTGGGGCGGGAATGCCGGGAAAGGGGAGGGTGGTGCTTAATGGTTCTTACTGTTGTACTTGAGTCTATGAGGCAGGAATGATTCCTTTTCATAATAGCTATCAATTTCTTTTTGTTACAGAGGTTCACCAGATAGAGATGGAATTGTAAGTATTTAAATGACCATTTTTATTGAGTTTGTGCTTCAAAATATGCTATGTTTAAATTTCTTGAAGCCCCATTTTTTTTTTCCTGTAGGGAAATAAATAGCTCGAATGACTTTTTAGACCTCTCACTGTTGTAATTTTCTATAATAATTGCATGGGACATAATGCAGTCTTGGTCAAGCTAGACTTATTTATAGCATTTACCTAAATATTTGCCCCAGAGCAGGCAGGCAAACTAGTCATCCAGATAGTGGGTCACAAGCCAGACAGTCCATGCAGGGGCTGCTCCCATCAACTGTTATTTCATTTCTAATTTAATTATGTAAAAGCTCATTACGGGAGAATGTTTTTTCCAACAGAGGCCACAAAGTTGTAATGAAGCTGAGATCCAAGAAAACGGAAAGAAGCTTTCCCCCTTTAGTAGTTGTGCTGTAGATACATTTTCTGTATTAAATTCAAAAGTAGGAGACGGTCTTGAAAACCACTTAAGCCTGAATTTACAGCCTGAAGGAGGAAAATCTATCCACTGGATTTAGATTTAACAGTTAACTCTAACTCCTTACTGGCCGCCGGAAATCTTGCTTTTTAAAAAAAAAGTCTGTGGTGCACGGGCTTAGATTTACCCAAGTTCTGCTTATGGGAGTCTGCACCGACTCCTAAAATGACTTCCTTCAAATCTAAATCAGATGCCTATTCAGAAGGTTCAAAAGAACAGCTGTTACTGAAAAAAAAAAAAAAAAAGGACTTACATTAGGCTCATTGGAGTGGGAACTAAAATAAACCTGATGGTTAAAAAAAATTTTTAAATCACCCTTCATAATATTATACCTAAACAGGGGTGTTAATTGCAGCTATTGCAGGAATTTTTCTTCCACACTTGACTCAAGGTTCTTAGCTTTGGGGTGCCTTTTGCTTTCATGTGGTTCTCACCATGAAATGTTAAGAAAATAGACTGAAATTGATCAGACATTGGGTAACACTATAATCAAGGCTCTATTCAGCAGGGGAAAAAAAAGACCCAGAAGACTCAGCTTCTCCTCACCTCTTGCTTCTGGCTCAGAGCCCTCTCGTTAACTCTGTCTCAGGTACTCTCTGCTTCTGTGTCTCTTCTTTGCTTCCAGCTTGGTCCCCTCCCTGGGTTCTCTGGTACCCTCCATTCTGACCTTTGCAAAGCTCTGTTAGCTATTCTGCTTTCTATCCTTGCTGCTCCCAGACTGGATTGCTATTTCTTGCTTCTCTACCTCTGCCGCTGTCAGTCTTGTCCTTATTTTCTTTCTCCGAACCCTGCTCATTGTCTCTAAGGCCCCCTTGCTGCCTTACTGTTCTCTGTGTTCCGAGCAGCGTCAGTTTAAGTCTCTGGTAGAACGTGCACCTCGGCACCTGGTACAGCAGCTGGCACATGGCAGGCAACGATGAGTATGTGCTGCATTAATGAACCCAGCAGTTATTCTGGGGATTCATCCCCCACCGGCCAGGGCTTCATGCCTGAGTTCCCCGAGCCCTTCGCCATTCCAAGTCATATGAATTTCATTATTAGCAGTTTTGCCCACTTTGTTACTTAATTAGAAATGCCATAAATATCACTTATCATGATTATAAGGAAAGATAAATCAGATAATTTTGATTTCTTAGGAAATAACACAGCCCTGTTCTGGAAAAGGCTACGTTCAAAATAAATGCACTTCCTCAGAAACAGGCTTTATAGCTAATGGGAAATTACCAGCTGCTGGTTTTACCATTTAGAAATGTTCTCCAAGTTTTCCAAGTTTACCCTGGTCACTGAATTTTGGAAACCAGTGCTATCTGAGTTTCTGTCTGCTTTCAGTTCTTAGAGATACCAACCTGATTTTCTTTCAGACTCAGATTTCTTCAGGCCTTATTTCTATAGACTCAATCTGCTTTGGCTGATACAGCTTTCAAATGATTGCCTTTTGAATGTCAGGTATTGAAATATATGTTTTCATTAATGTAGTTCCACAATCTACAGGTGGTGGTGCACCTACCTAGTGCTTATAAACTACTTGGTAAACACAGCTTTAATGTACTATTGTTTATTTAATGACAGTTTCTCAAAATCTAACGAAGCTCATCTCTGGTGGCAATGCTTCTGAGGTTTAACATATAGAGGCTTCGCGGCAGGGCTGCATGCATGAAGGTGGGACTTGCTCCCCACTGGCTGAATGTACCCATCACTGGCAGAGCTGTCTGTCATGGTGTCTGAGACTTCAGGCAGCTGTGTGTGACAATGCATCCTACTCCAGACACAAACTCTAATTTGTGCAGGGCAAACTAACGTTTTTCTAAGCAGTTTCAGTTTCCTTCCACACATAGACTGGGAGCATCAGGGTCATAGCCTTTGCTGTGAGAAGGTCAGTTTTGATCATCCTGAACAGGTGTGCAGGAAAGGACACAGATTTGGAGCTGTCAGCTGTGAGTGCTGTGTGTATTGGCGACCTGCAGGAAGGCTTTGACCCAAGGGAAAATATGGTGAAGCTAAACTGAACTTTTCTTACTTAGATTAGAAATACAACCATTTTTATTCAGTCTCTTCTTGTGTGTCCTCGTGTCTGTTCTTTATGTGTAAATTAAATGCTGGCTGTATGAGAAATAGATCCACCCGGTCCCTAGAGCCTGGGACACATCTTCCTCCTCCTCCCATCTTCTCGTGGCCTAACCAAGCTGGCCTGCTGAATAGAGCCTCATTATGGGCCCCAAAGTCCACTCTTTGCTTAAGGAACCCTGCCAAGATTGGTAGGCCGTACGATTTGGCCTAGAGATGGTTTCTTCTATGGTATGTTTGCTGACTCCATGTAATTCTTTATATGTGTCTTGAAGAACAAGCAGATCTTTTTAACCACTTTTTTCTACATGAAAACAATCAATTCCAGCAGCCCAGCCCACACGAACCACCCTACAATAGCAAAGCAGAATGTGCGCGTGAAGGAGGAAAAAAAGTTTCGGTAAGGAAACAGATTTTAGTTTAAAATTTCCAAAAGGTTGTAGAAAACAGTGAGTAAAATCCCAGTTTAAAACTTGGAAAACACAGTAGTTTCCATCTGCTCCATTTAAGAAAACTCTTAGGTATTTCCAGTTATTTCTTGAATATCTGGGGCCAATTTCAGGAATTCAAACTTTAAAAAGAATCTACTATCTATAAAGAAGCCTTTGGCTATAATAAAAGTATCACCACATAAATTGAGTAGTCATTTCTTAGAATAAGAACTATCTCAATAACATCGGGAATTTGGAATGATTTGTAGGAATCAGCGTATTTAACCAAAGGACATTGAGTCAGGGATGCTGACCCTAGCCCAAACTCTGTAGCAGCTATAGCAGTGTTGTACATTATGGTAGCCACATGTGACTAGTTTTTAAAATTCAGTTCCTCAGTTGCTGTGAGTACTCCGTAGTCACCTGCGGCTAGTGGCTACCATCTTGGATAGCACACGGTAGAACATTGTCATCTTCACGGCTACTTCTATTGGGCAGTGCTGTCCTATAGAATTATTTACAAAGTGAATCAAGTCTACATCAGTGGAGAAAAGATAATATTTAGGCAGTACATCATGTATCTTTAACATGCTTTACTCAAGGATCATTACCTGGCCATGAGCTGACCTTGAAAACCAGAGGCATTTCCAATGGAAATAGAGAACTTTGATGAATGTATAATTGAACATAATTGTCACTATATTTACCTACTGAGCCCATCATATTATCTAAGAAGAGGTAACATGCCTAACCAAGTATAATACCTATGAAGACATGATTAGCATCACTGCGAACCTCAATTATCTTTAATAATCATATTCAAGTTATAAAAGTTACTTATTCTAAAAGTAGGATTTTTTTTAGTTTTAAAAAATACAAAAAAAAGGAAGAGGTAAAAATCTATATAACTACAATTCCAAGAGAAAAATCATTGTTTGTATATTGGCAAATAATTAATATGTCTTTCACTATTAAGTCTGGTTTTTAAGTGGTGTTTTTCCACTTAACTGTTATTCTTCCTTGCTTCTTCTTCAAAGTTTTCCATTTGAAAATCAATAGAGTCATTATCTTCACTATTACTAGTACTACAGCTGCACCTTTCTCAATGGTTAAACCAACAACGAATTGTTTTTTTCTTGGGTCTGGGCCAGAAGAATTCCACCCAGGCTCTGGCCTAGCTTTAACTTGATAATTTTCACTTGTGAAACCAAAGATATTTGTAAGAATCCACTTGCATACCTGAGACCAAATTCCTTTAATAAAGCCGTGTGTGTGTGTGTGTGTGTGTGTGTGTGTGTGTGTGTGTTGAATACCTGCCAAAAATAATGTATTGTTATGATTTGGTGTTTGTGTTTAGTATTTGTTTTTGAAGTGTCCCTATGTTTGAAGAAAAAGTTTCTACAGGTTTTGCTTTCTCTTTATCTCAATCTGCCTTTGGTTTTCATGCAAACTGGGAAATTTTCACTCTGCCTAGATCTTTAAATTTAGAAACCTTTTTTTCTACAATGTTAGATATATGTTGTCAAGAAGGAAAGAAAAACGAATATACATATATATATCTGTGTGTGTATATGTATAGTATATGTATATTTATATATGTGAGTGTATGTGTATATCTATGTATATATGTGTGTATGTGTATATGTACATATATGTGTATATATGTGCATGTATATATGTATATATGTACACACATACATACACACTCAGATATATATATATAAACTGTTTAGCTGAACATATAAACCATCTTGGTTTTTAAGGGCTTTAGTTATGAAGATGAGATTATCATGGACACAAACTATAGAACTTTGAAAATGTTGAACTCAGTAATTTATCTAATCTCTGGTTTTCAGTAAAAATCCTAGATTGCAAAATTCATGAGTTTACTTCTCTGGAAGCTACTTAGTTCTTTTGATCTCCTATCATTGTAAATCAAATGTCTGTATTGAACATGTTTATTATATATGCTTTCTAAGAAAGAGTGGAGCATTTTGCAAAGAAGTCATAAACAAACAGACTGGTAAAGAGGGAATTAAAAGAGAAAGTAAACATGATAAAGAGAAAATAGGAGCCCTGTTTATTCTCATGTAAAAGAAGAATTTTTATTAAGTGGCACATTATATAATGGACCAGTTTTCAATAGTGGCTTCATAAGATATACATAGGCAGAGTTGATATGATCTTTGAACAAAGGTTTACAAAGACCTTTGTTCAAAGTAGAAAAAATATCACTGAAGCACTAATTCAACGAAGGCAATTCTACGGGAAGATTAAAATGACGTAGTCTGCATACAAATCATATATGTCAGGAGTGGGACAAAGAGGGAGATGGTCAAAGACCGTATGTCCCTGGATGTTGATCTGTGGAGGCATGGCCCAGTTCTTATATTTGTAAATTTGAGTGCAGTGGTAGTATATTGGAAGACAGAGGGGATGAACACATTAGCTATTTCTTGTGCACTATTTACCCTTGCCAAAGGGTAGTCCATAGAATGCCCAGTCAACCTTCATTGTTACTCAATGATGATGGTTATTCTGGGTTATCTAGTGATCCTATGTGCACACATAAAAAGCTTATTTCTCCACCTATTTGCCAAATTGGGTATTAGTTGTTTACATTGCAGTTCAAGTGACCTTTATTTGTGACTGCAAAATTAGAGGTCCTGTGTTCAAGCCTCATGCATCACCCTTTGATGTGTGTTGTTCTGAGATCTGCTATGCTTAGTGACATGCCCTTGCTCCATGTGCTAAATATAAGAATGTTGTTGGATGGACCCTCCATTACCAACCTGATTTGTGTTTTTGTCCTTTGCTCACAAGACATAGAAAATCTTGGCAACTTCTATTTGGGTGATGCCACATCCTTACTCAAGTGCTTGTGACCATGTGTCATGGTTGTACTAAGGGACAAAGAAAACTTTAAGATAATCGGAAGAGAATAGTGCTGACATCCAGTCAACTTGCAATGTTGTGCTCGTGAAGGCACAGATCACACAAATGACAAAAATCCACCATTAATCCTCAAATTATATTTTAAAACTTTGATAAGAAAAACCATTTGGAAAAAGATTATTTTTAATAACTAGGAGCTGAATGAACTGATTTGGAGTTGACTTCCTCTATGTTTTATCAAGGGGGTAGTTACAGAAAAATTGATTCAGTGCTAAAAATGCTAAAAGATTAGTTAATGACTTGGTTGAGTACTCTTTGGATATGTTAGAACTAATTGTATAATAATGGCAGCATGGAAGTAAAAATGTTTCCATTTAATATTCATATACACATGGTTATATCCGCTGTAGGTTTAGAGGATTAAATTATAATGAAGGTGCTGCTAATTCTTCAGTAACTGAATAAAATTTGAACAGTCCATCATTAATATCCCTGTACCTTGGTATCCTACAATCTTTTGTGAAATAAGCACATAGGCCCTTTTCTTCAGTGTCATGGCAGCTAGATTTACCATTCCGTTACACCACTGTGGCTCCTTAATAAGCTGCTCTAATATGTCTTTCCAGTGCTGGATTTTGATAGCTCTTGCTAAATGCAGATAAGAGTTCAATGTTCTTTGTTCCTTTGTTTTTATTCAAATATTTTCCTTCTAAATTTATTTTCAAATTTATTACAGAAGAAAAGCAATGGGGCACCAAATGGATTTTATGCGGAAATTGATTGGGAAAGATATGTGAGTATCAGAAGACTGTTTCTCTGTATCAAGTATTTTACACTTTAAAAATGAGTTGAGACAATCTTACAAGAGGACTTAGAAATAAGTAAAATGCTGTCCATGTCATTAGGAGGTGTCTGGCATGTTTCGGATGGGGCTAAGGGAAATGGAGTCTGTCAGAACTGGGTTCAAGATCTAGCCCAAGCTTGTCTAATGTTATGAGGTTTCTTGCAATTTATTTATTTTTTTATTTATTTTAGCTAATCTGCAATTGTCAATGTTAGCTTATTTTATGTGTGGCCCAAGACAATTCTTCTTCTTTCAATGTGGCCTAGGGAAGCCAAAAGATTGGACACCTCTGATCTTTTTTTAAAATTTATCTATTGTAGTTTAAGATCTGGAGTACATGTGCAGGTCATGCAGGTTTGTTACACAGGTATACACGTGCCATGGTGGTGATTTGCTGCATACATTGCTCTGTCATCTACATTAGGTATTTCTCCTAAAGCTATCCCTTCCCAATCCCCCAACCCTCTGCTATTCCTTCCCTAGCCCCTCACCCCTCAGGCCCCAGTGTGTGATGTTTCCCTCTCTGTGTCTGTGTGTTTTCCTTGTTCAACACCCACTTATGAATGAGAACATGTGGTGTTTGGTTTTCTTTTCTTGTGGATACCCCTGTTCTAGCCCCTATAGATATCAACTGTGTATGGCCTTCAAATTGTTATTTACTGGGTAGCAAAAAAGAAAGCAATAGTTATCTTGTGTTATTGTTGCAAGGATTCAATGAGCTAATTATTTGCAGAACATTTTAGTAACCTGCTAGCCTGTAGTACTTGTTCAAAAAATGTTTATCTAATATTAACTCAGGGTGTTTCAGCGCTGGTTCTATTTCTTAGAAGCTTTGAGAATAGAGGCAAGTCAACTTGATTTTGGCAGGATGTGACCTCTGAGCAAAGGCCTAACATATACATAGAGGCTAACTGGCTGAACATTTGGGGGAAGAGAATTGCAGGCAGAGGGAACAGCATTGATGAGGTCCCTGAAATGAGACAGCGCTTGTAGCACTCAAATCACAAACATTGAGAAGGAGAGAACATGCGGCTGAGAGGGGATCAATGGAAGGTAATTACAGACGTGAGGCTAGAGACAGGGGCAGGAGCCGGCCCTGCTGAGCCTTATTGGCTACACAGAGTCACTTGGCTTTTATTCTAAATGCAGTAAGAAGCCAGGGACACGTTTTAGCAGGCAAGTAACCTCGATACACTTGTATAAAAAACAAAAGGCAACTCTGAGTACTAAAGAAGGAGGACAAGAGGAATAACACAATAAATGCTCAAAAAATGGAAAGTTTCAGATACAGAAAGAAAAATACTGTATAATCTTGCTTATATGCAGAATCTTTTTTAAAAAGTCAAATATGGGAGGTTAAAGCAGGAGAATTGCTTGAACACGGAAGGCAGAGGTTGCAGTGAGCTAAGATTGCACCACTACACTCCAGCCTGGGCAGCACAGCAAGACTGTCTCAAAAAACAAAAAAAAAGGAAGTCAAATACATAGAAACGGAGTAGAATAGTAGTTAGCAGAGGCAGAAAGCGAGAAGAAATGGAAGAAGTAAGTCAAAGAGTACAAATTTGCAGTGAGGTGAGATGAAGTCTAGATATCTAACATAGTAAAAATTTGCTAAGAGTTTAGGTGCTCTAATCATATACACACTCATTAGAAGGATTGCTATGGAAGGTAACAGAAATGTACATTTCACTGTAGTAGTCATTTTACTATGCACATGCATATCAAAACATGTTGGACCCCTTAAATATAGACAATAAAAATCCATTTTAATGGGCCTTTTCCCATGGTATATAGACCCACTTCTCTCACCATGGTTACGGCGTTTTTACTGCTTTATTAACTCCCAAAAGTAACTGTCCAATTCTGCCTTCTCTCAGTAGCAGACCTATCACCTCAACTTCAACAGGGCCATCTACAAATGCTTCATTTTCCTCCCCTCTAGGACATACGGTATAGTCTGAAATGCCAGGGGTCAGAACCTAGGTCTGACATTTGCTAGGTGTGTTTCCTTGGGAAATGGTGTCTGATTTCTCTTCTTTCTTGATAAATGGGATAATTCTTTTCACATATGCTTTCTAAGTGGTTCAGTGAGGTAAAGTATGGGTCACAATGCTTTCCATATAATATAAATCCCATATAATATGAATCCATATAATATGAATCCCAATAATATGATCATTCTAATCCCAACAATGCAAACTGCCTTTTTATGTTTTCTGCTTCTTTCCAAAAAATATTAGTTGTCTGCTGTCAGAATTAGCTCAACTGGGAGCACCAGCACTCTCCCACAATTTGAGGGTAGAAATATTGGAGTCCTCTTGAACCTTCCCTCTGCCTTTTTCCTATGGCTGATCTGTTACCAAGAATCAATAATCCATCCTTTCAAATGTCCTCAGTTCATCCCATCCCACCAATAACTTTATTCATATTCTTAGTACCATTTGCCTGAATTGATGGGTTTCTCTTTCTCCAGTTCTTCTGCCCCAAGACTATCCTGAACATACTTCCAGAACTCCTTAAGATTTTGCTTTCAGCATGTCCCACCCTAGCTGAGAAGCTGCAGTAGCTGCCTCAAGTCCAAACTCTTTCCCCTGGCATGTTGGCTCTCATCGTCTCAATTCCCCATCTCCCACTGTGTAGCTTCTTCTCTAGCCACATTACCATTGCTATTGCCCCGTCTGTCTCCCCATCTGAGTCACCCAGTGTCCATTCCCATTTTGGTGTGTCTGAATTGGCTCTTCCTTACCACCTAGAAGGAGCTCCCACTCTACGCTCTCCTGTCTGTCCTGAAAGATCCATAAAGACCGCGCTGATTCTTTTAAACCTCACTAATTTCCTTTTCTTTGAACCCTAACACAGGTGTTTTGTGTTTCATATTTTCGTTTTAATTTTTGCCTACCAAAATACATTTCGATTTCCCTGAGGACAGATAATTTCCATTTCTTATACCCATGTTCCTTAGCACAGTCCTTGGCTTACAGGAAATGCATGTTAAATTCTGTTTGAATGCTTTCTTTCATTGACAGTTGATTCCTTCTCGTTTATTTTCCCAGTAGGAGGACTCTCCAAGTATCCTTGAGTAAATATCTAAACATATTGCTCAGAATTCATTTCAGAAGTTAAAAGCTTCATCTCCTAAAAGAAAATACTTTTAAATATCCTTAAATAGAAGACTTTAGAAAAAAAATAATTTCTTGATCACTGTTAGAATAATAATTACTTAATGTGCACTTGTGTTTTATAGAATTCACCTGAGCTGGATGAAGAAGGCTATAGCATCAGACCCGAGGAACCCGGCTATATCCTTTCTTATTTTTTTTATTTTAATTTTCATTCACTCTCAGGAAACAGTAAGATAAATTCAGATTTTACACAGGTAATGAAATAACCTAATCTTCACAAGCCCTGTTATTCCTGATATTAGAGATGAACAAACAGCACCGAGAACAGCCGGAGCTCTAGCAAGCAGGCATTTTGCCTTAATCTATTCATAGAAACGTGAGAGGAGAAAGAGAAAAATGTGCTAAAAAACAGTTGTTGAAACGGTGGGTATTGGGCTGTCTGCTAAACCCTGATATGACTGTCATTTACGGTGACTAGAAAATAGCTCTGTCTTCTCCCTACAATTCATCTCTGGGCAAAGCATGTCACACTGATGCATTTAAAACTCATCGTGGATCACCCATAAAGCAGCCTTCCTCTCTGTAGCTCAGTAAGCTCACATGTGCCTGCCTGTGTGTGCTGAGTGTGACACAACCAATGGCCAAGTGCAGCAAAAAATGTAGCATATTATAACCACTGCTTCTTGAAATTCACCATCCTTGATCATGTTCTGAGGAAGGGTGAATAAATTCTAACCCTTTCCTCTTTTATTTTTCTATGCTTTGCTTTGATTTTCGAAGGACACTTGTGCTGTCTCTATGTGCAATCGCTCTTGCCTTAGAGTTGTTGTCTCCCAATAGAAGAAAGAGTTATGTATCTTTAACTGTGTTCTACCTACCAAAGGAAAGCACTTTTATTCTTCGAGTGAATCGGAAGAGGAAGAAGAATCACATAAGAAATTTAATATCAAGATTAAACCATTGCAATCTAAAGACATTCTTAAGAATGCTGCAACTGTAGATGAATTGAAGGCATCAATAGGCAACATCGCACTTTCCCCATCACCAGTGGTGAGTGTTGTGTGTGTGTGTGTGTGAAGCTTTGGTGACACTGAGCAGAGCTATGTTCTGCCTACATACAGTAAGTCAATCAGAAACTCCTTAAACTGAAGCCTGCATATGGTCACCATTTCATCAATTCTATAAACCTTAAGAAGCTCATTCTAGCTGGAGAAAGTCGTACTTATTTTATACTGCAGTCTTGTGCTTTTCAAAATGGTGAAAAGGTGTGGATCCACATTTTCTTTTGACTTACTTTACTGCAAGCATTTTATAAAGAAAGAAAAAGTTTATCCGGACTTATCTCTGATGCAGTCTTGGCAACTAGAAACAACATGAAGTTCACAAATTTGCTAACAGTAATTTTCAAAAACACATCTTCGTTTCTTTTTTTATGATACACCACATGAAAATACATGGAAGGATTGTTCTTTTTCTTCATTGCTATGCTCTAAAACCAAAAATTAATCCAAATAACAGTCTAAATCGATACTAAAACTCATATCCTTCATTTTATTGTATTATCGAGTTGACTTAAATCATCTCATCTTTAAGGCACCTCAGATATGAGTATGGTCCTGCTTATATTATTCAAATACATATTTTCCTATAGATAAACTAAGGCTTCGAGGGGTGGGAAGAGGTATTTTTGCAACATTTGCACTTCCATTCCCCAATTCCCAGCTACTAAATTTCTTTAGTTGCTGAATTCTGAGTTCTGACATCTACAGTCTTTTCTCTGTGTTTGATAAATGCCACCATTGTTTTCTAAAAACAGTTCTGAGCAACAGACGAAGGCTTTCAAACTGGCAGCTAATATGTTCTTGGCATCTTCTTTAGAGAGATGTGATCTCCCTATAGCATTCCCCCAAACAGGGTAGTTAATAAACGCTGAACCATTTTCGAGATACTTCAGGAAACATCTCAGCTAACCTTTCTAAATGACTTGTAATCATCTATCTTTTGAGAGTAAACTTTTGCCTCTCTGGGATGAAAAATGTCTACAATGATGCTTTCTTTAGTGTTTACTGCTTTTAATGGACTTGATCACTACTGTTGGTGACAACCAAAGTGATTACTAAGAGTAACTAACCACAGCAAATAATATTTAAGGTAATTTTTAATCATATGCTCCCCTGCTACTTTAAGATATCTTCTTGAAAAGAGAAGCATGAAATATATTAGTTTCCTTTCCCTTCTGCAATGGAAGGAGCAGATTTTAAAGTTACATATTGACCTGTGAGTTTGAGTAATGGCGGTATTTTAAATGCATACTCTCACTTTTCAGTGGCATCGTCAAACTATTTTTTACTTACTGAATAATCTTTTTAACTAAAAATCTCCTTAAACATCTAAAACCAGTTTATGGCCATGTCTGTGCAGTTTATTTTACTCACTTCTCTGAGTTTATTCTCTGTGTAATAAACTGGCCCTTTGGAAGCTACCTGGGGTTATAAAAGAAGGCAAGTTCAGAGAATTAAGTGAACAAATTTATGTGAAAGCAAATGTACTGGAACAGTCCCAGAAACATAGTACATGTTTGCTGGAATCTAGCTGAATCCAGGAAAGAAGAGATTCCCTCTGTTGAATAGAATATGTAGGCCTAAGTTATCTGGTAGCTCTTCCTCCAATCAGATATGTTGCTGAGATGCAGCAAAAAGTGGTGGTTTACTCTGAGCTCCTCTCAACATCTGTTTTTAAAGTAAAATATTGACATGATGTGGTTAAGATTCTGGTGAAAAAGTATTAAGGGAAGCAAAGTGAAAACTAGATGGAAACACCCAGAGACAGTGACCTTAGGAAAAGGTGAGCATGTTTCTGGATATATGTAAGTCTAAAGACAGAATTGTAACTGGAAACATATTCTTGGTTTTAGAATCCTTGCCCTCTCTTAAATAATCCATGTGTAGATAGATAGATAGATAAATAGATAGATAGGTAGATAGATAGATTTTTTTTTTTTTTAAGATGGAGTCTGGCTCTGTTGCTCAGGCTAGAGTGCAATGGCGTGATCTTAGCTCACTGCAACCTCAGCCTCCCGGGTTCAAGAGATTCTCCTGCCTCAGCCTCTCAAGTAGCTGGAATTACAGGTGCCTGCCACCACACCTGGCTAATTTTTATATTTTTAGTAGAGACAGGGTTTCACCATGTTGGTCAGGCTGGTCTCGAACTCATGACTTTAGGTAATCCACCCGCCTTGGCCTCCCAAAGTGCTGGGATTACAGGCATGAACCACTGTGCCTGGCATGTACATATATTTTATAAATGACATATGCAGCACTTCATCTCCAGAACCAGATAAGTAACTTGAAATTCAGCTGGTGCCATGATAAAAATGGCAATGATTTTGGACTTTACATGTTTCCAGCCAAAAGAGCAAACAATTATACATCTGTACTTTCTTTAGGTACTAAAAAAGAAATAGGGTCTACATCAGTTAATGATATATCAGAATGTTTTATTTAAGCTATTGTTCTTATACTGCAAAAACATCAATCATTACATTACTAGAAATAGGGGAAATTTCAAATAATAAACTATTCATAAAAATGGTTTGCATTGGACTTCAGATTTCTGTTTCTTTTGAAGTTTTTAAGATAAAGTTGTGCCTCAATTATTCTTTTCATTTATTTATTAATACATATCCATGAACTATAACCAATTTGATCTCTTTTATGATGAATTGGTTTTATTTTACTTGAATAGTTTGCAGTCAGATTAATGAATGAAAGAAAATGGGAGGAATGAATGAATCATATATCTATGTGTATATACAATATAAACTTGTCTTAAAATTACTTCTCAAGACAATGCCAGCAGCAAGACAAATCAAGATTTTAATTGCTGGCGACAAACCTACTATATAGTTAGATAAACATAATTTCAGTCCAGATCTTGCCTTAGCCCTTGATTTTTATATCAAAATAAAATATAATGTGGGCCAGGACAAGGCAGAGCATCAGAAAGGAAAAAGGATAATGCAGGATTTAACTCACAGGTAAAGGATATTAATTCTTATTCTTATCATATTCCAGTCTTCTGATAAAATACCGTGCTTACAGGGCAAAGAATGAACATTACCCAGGTCTGAGATGTTGATTTGGCATCTGTATACATTAGAATATTTGTTAAGCTGTTTTAACAGAGACCAAAATCATAATGACTTAAACAAAATAGGTGGTTTCTTTCTCTCCCACATAAAAGTCAAAGCTGATAGGCAGTCCAGAGATAAAAGAGTCTTACTCCAGAGGTCACTCAAAAACCCAGGAATTTTCTGTATTATTGCTTCCCCTTTCCTAGAGTGGCATTGCTGTCTTACCACCAGCAAGTACTGCTGTGTACCAGCCTTGGGATGGGCGAAAAAGAAATAAAAAGCGAGGAAATAAAAATGCATGCATCATTACCACCCAGATCCCACTACCATAATTTAATCACATGGACTCATTTGCTGCAAGGGAATCTGGGAAATGTAGTGTTTTGCTAGATAGACATGTAGGCTGCTAACATTCGGGATTTTATTACTAAAAGACAAAGAAACAAATGGCTATTGGTGGATATTGACAGTTTCTGCCACTGTGTTCTGAATTATATTGTATCTGCATCTTAAGGTAAGAATTAAGTAATCTCAGATTATTTCAGGGAGTTCATTAGGAAATGGGATTTCTTCCCATATATGTTTAAAATTATTCCCAGGACTTATTGAATCCAGAGTGTTCTATAATAATTTTCTAATCACTAATTTATAAACACTAGTGATACTGTGCTGTGTGTTAGCTATCAAAAATACTTCAACACTCCAATAACAGTAGTGAACAGAAACACTTCAACAATAGTAGTGTCCCTCTGTCTTACACAGGTTCACTGCTTTCTGAAGGCAGGCTGTTCCACTGTTGAAAGACAAGTCTTCCTTTTATCAAACCAAATATGTAATTTTGTCCTTGATTATAGGTGTACTCTTTAAAGGATAAACAAAGGGCAAGACCCTTTCTTTTACTGGTTTTCCACGAAGCAGAATGACTCCAACTCCAAGTTTAGAGTGTAGGATGTTTAGTAAGGAGTGACCTTGGACCTACTACCTGTGGTGTAGGGTGGGCAGAGGGAGAAGCTGATCTGTTTTACACAACCAACAATAGCCTGAGCTAATCCCAGGGAAACTCTGGAACTACTAGGAGCCTTCAGAGTTCATGTGAGTTCAGTTAAGATTAATAACCTTGATACTGCTCAATCCATCGTGCTCTGATGTGGGCCACAATAGGAAGGGGCATGCCCTTGGGTTAGGTAGCTCTCTGGAGCTGAGGCAGATCCTGAGGCACTGACCATTGAAGGCTGCCAATAGCACTCCCAGCAGCTAGTGCAAGAAACCCTTCTGAAGATTCTTCATGGCACATTTTGGTGTCCATCCCAAATTCCCTGTTCTTGATATAAGCCCTAGTATATCATCGCCATTCAATTAATGCTTGCAAATGAGTGAGTGAGTGAGTGAGTGAGTGAGTGAGTGAGTGAGTGAGTGGTGAGTGAGTGAGTAAACAAATATGTGAATGGGACCAGGCCAAAAACAGAGAACTGGCAAGTCGCCACCCTCCAGTTTTACAGCTATCCACTGACAACACCCTTCTGCCTCCTGTGTTCACCACATAATTATTCTCCTAACTGTGCTCTAATCCTGGGCACATATTTTCATTCATTTTTTTCAAAACAACACTGAATTTGAGATACTTGGGGTGTCTACAACTTTGCCTGGATCTACCAGGTCAGAAACCCTATCAGAGAGAATGATAGGTTCAGTTTGCCCTGTTGCTTTGGGCTGGCACCTAGAGTTATCACCTTCTTTTCCAAGTGCTTTCTGGCCATCTGTTTAAATATCTTGTTCTAGAATTTTGGATTAATAACAGGGAGGTGCATAGTAACAGAAAGTACATAGATTCAGATTGTCCTGGGCCCCAGCCCAGGACACTTTCTGTGATAAGCCCCAACACTTTCTAACCTTAGATAAGCCCCATAACTGTTCTGAT